CGTGTGCGTGTGCGCGTGTATAAATATTTATATATTTTATATATATATATATATATATATATATTTATACACACGCACACGCATAATATATATATATACATATATAATTTGGTTTGTAATTTAGCTCACAACTATCTTCTAATTAGCTTCAAATACGGGTGCTTTGTAGTTATCTGTCCTCATATATACCGGTACATGCGAAATATTTTATGCAACTGATATCGACACGTTGTATATATATCCTACGACATATAGAATTTGACTATAGTATGGAATGTACGGTCCTTGAGGTCATGTGTATTGTTTATCTGTTTTCATCCGTAGTATACACGTATGCTCAAAGCTGCATTGTAGAATCGAATCTGAACTACATTTTCAACTGTAGCAGTGATCTTGTACGTATTAATATATGATTTGTATGAGACTGTTACTCAATTATGCCTTCGTTAGAAGCGATTTCATCCAGATATTTCTCTTATATGCATATGCATTGACCAACACGGAACTGCGGTCTGCGAACATTTTTTTTTGTACATCTACGCCTACGCTCATACTAGCTCGTATATAGTCGTGTATAATTCGTATATAGACGTGTATAATTAGATGTGTTGTATGCGCAATGTAAATTACTTGAGATTATGGAATCCCCAGGTGTTTTTATCTGCGAATGGCTTTCTATCTTAGCTGGTGGACCTGGTTGCCTGCGTGTACACATTTGCTTACAGTCAAAGACATTTACGACATGTTTGTGGCCCGATAAAAAGGGTTCAATTTAAATTTCGTACCCCCAGCGCTGAATTCCTTTGCCTGTGCTGACGTGATTAACCCTCATTTTGTTGTAGGTGCACATCGTACAAGGGATCACGCGCGAGTTCCATCGTCGCCCCCACTAGTAGGCTCAGTATTATTGGTACCTTGGAAGCAATCGATCGCGGCTGACAGTTCGCATGTCAATAAGACACTGCTCGACTTACTGACCCAACCCACACGATCAAATGTGACCAAACCTGCCCTTGCCAGTCTGGAAGCTTTCGCACCGGAGCTGGTTGTGCCCCGTATGGATATCTCTGGACCGGCAGCCGAGAGTGTTGTAGAGGAGACGAGCAAGGTGGAGTACGAGGCGGGAAGCGTTATCAAGAAGCGCAAGTTGAAGATGAAGAAACATAAATACAAGAAATGGAGGTAGGTGCTCGGCCTCACTTAGATATACGCGCAACTTGGTGTTTCCTAGCATGCACACAGTTGAACTCCTTTCTGACACCGATTCATCGCCTTTTTACGTATTTTATGTAGTTAGTGTTGCGATGCTGTAGGTGTGCATACATTCCGGCTACGTCTTACCGCACTATCATAGATTCGCGTTGCGGTGACCGTTGCCTATGGCTTTTCAGAAGTATCATTGATCGGCCGTGTTCTATTAACTCACTCTCCACACCACCCTTATTTCCTATAGGAAAAAGATGCGTCCGTTGTGGCAGAAACTAGGAAAAGTGTAAGCTTGTCCCGGCTTCTTGCACGCTGTTCTGACTGCTGCGACCTTAGACACGGTTTAGAAGGGAACACATCAAGCTCAAACTCACAAGCTTACAGGATTCGGATGTGGTGTATCTTCCCAGATTTCTATGCTATAGTATTACGAGATTGTCGGTGATCAGTCTCACGCTCCACTTCACATCTCATCGACAATTCCAGTTGTACGTCGCACCTTTTTTTGTTTGGAATGTCATTACTTAGTATTAAAAGGGAGTAATCTGGAATTCATGGTATTCGATCGGATCGGCTACTTGTTCAAAGTTACTCATGGATAGCAATCGAACTCTTGTGTGTACGAGTGCGCACAAAATGATTTGTCGCACTCAGCAGAATTTGTAGACTGCATCTGCAGACCATTATGGATATAATCTCAACAGGACGAGATTCAAGTCCGTCGAATGTTTGTCGAACGGTTCGTCATTTCACTCAAATTGCGCATGTGACATTGAGGCGATAGTGTTTTCACTGCGGCGCACAAACGTGATTTGTATCCATCCAAATGCATCTCACAAGGTGACCTTTGGACACGACCATGGGCGTAACCCATATAATTACCATCCGAATAAGTATTGGCAGGTTGATAAGAAGTGGATGAAAGTGCTCGGTGCTGATATTCTGGCGGCGAAAGCACGCTCTTTCTAGTCATCTCTCACCGTCCCTATGGTCAGTGTAGTGCAGGAATAGGCTGTATCTACACTATAGTGTTAAGTGTCGCAGATCGCTCCTGACGCATAAGTGTGTGCCCGAGGTCCACACTTCGGGACTTCAAATAGAATGGAGACCAACATATTATGGGAGAGTGGCGCACAGAAGGTTAAAACACCTATTGATAGTAGTGCCACAACTACAAAAGTCTGTCATTTTCTATTCGACGCTATCACAATATTGTCATTACTATTGCAAACGAATGCTCCTGCAGACTTACAGCAACCGGTCGGCAGAAAAGTAGATACGAGACACAAAGGTGTCAATTTAGTCACTCGACACACGTCGGGATCTCTTAATGGTAGTATACTGCTAAATTTATTTACTTTCGACATCTTCATGACATGCTGAACAAAATCAATTGAATACAGTCTTTAGCGCGTCCTCAAAGATCTCCATGGCCTCGTCTACCTCACCCGCACTGACAGTTAGAGGAGGAATGAAGCGTACGGTCTCAAATACACTCGTGTTGAGCAGCATCATGCCTCTATTTAGACACTCTACAGTTACTTGTTTCGCGGTGTTCGCAGGCACATCTTTGTTGAATTCTAATCCGATCATCAGACCTAGTCCTCGCACATCGTGGATAGGATATTTCTCTGCGAAAAGCAAAGTGTTCGCCGTATTAGAGCATTGACTGAGACCATACATGTCGTGCCCAATCGTATCAGCAAACAAAAAATTCTGACACCAAGGGTATCGCCAACGTCACATACCTTGCATCTTGCGCAGCGCCGTCCTCATCTGTTCGCCACGTGCATTCACATTCTCGAGCAGCTTCTCTTCTCTGAATACTTCCAGAGTCGCCTTGGCAGCCGCACAAGCTACCGCGTTACCTGCAAAAGGCACCCAGTATGGAATTAATGAGCCGAGGGTAATGATAGCCACACTATGAAATACTAATGCTAGGCAGCGGCAATGCGTTTCGATAATTGTATTCAAAAAGCCGTTGCGTTGCTCTATTGTGCATACGAGGGCCGGGCTGTGCCAACAATCTAAAAACTCTCACAAATACAGTAAAAGGTTGCTCTGAATTTGTCATTTTCATATTGGCTATTGAGAGGACAGTGATTTCTCACACAGCCCAAGTGCACATATACGAGATGCCCTGAATTTTCGCGCGGTAAAATTTAAAACACCATACGGAAATTGAATTGCGTAAATATGAGACTGGGAATGCAGAGCTTTTGAAGGTTTGGAACTATAAACGCACTGCTATTAGCGATGCGTTCGTTCTGATCGTACCACTAGATAGTGAAACAACCTGCACTTCGACGGCACTCTGAAACCACCAATAGCCCCAGACCTATAGCGCTTCTACCGCAGCTCCGTGTCAGACCTGTAGTCAGCCTATCGAATACGCGAATCACGTTTGATACACCTATGATGTAAGCATAGTTGTTACCTCTAACGACAAAGACAAAAGACCACACTAACCTGCATAGGTGCCACCCATGGAACCGACGACCTGCTTATCCATCAGCTCTTTTCGGCTCACAATTGCGCTCAACGGGAAACCAGATGCAAGACCCTACAGATAGTATGGAATAGATGAACATATTAGAACAACTAAGACAGGTCGTAAGCAATGCCAGTATCAACAGAAAGGGGCAAAAGAACACCAGCGTGCACGGGATCACTGACACCTACACTTTCAAAAGTGACATACAAAAGAAAATACCCTGGACTACACATTATGTGCATCCACTAAGTATATTGTGTCATTGTTATTGCTTGTATAGAAATTATCACTCGTCCACATGAAAGTGAGATATACAAAAAGCAATACCCTGGACTACCCATTGTGTGTATTTACAAAGTATATTCTATTATTGTCATTGTTAGCTTCGCAAGTATCCCGTAGTTAAACAAATTAAAGCTTCATTCAAAACAAAAACCGTGACACATGATTAGAACAAGCACAAACACAAAAGTACAAAGAAAAGCGGTTCACAAACAGCAAGAGCATTCTCATACATATGCATTGAATAGTTTAGAAGTATACCAGGAAATTTGATCCACAACATTTTCTGCTGGCCAAGAATATTTCCCGACCCTTATATAATTGCAAAAATACACGCAAGATATAGACAAATATAGGCGCAAGAATTATACAAATTGAATCTTCTACATCGATCACTCAATTGACCACACATGTTGACGGCAGTCACGTAGCACAGACAAAATCTTAAAGTTCAAAACCTTCCCAATCTAAGACAAGCCAAGACCTACCTTAGCCATGACCATGATATCCGGGACCACATCGAAGTTCTCGACCGCAAACATCTTCCCAGTTCGACCGAATCCTGTTTGGACCTCATCAGCAATGAACAAGACATCTCTCTCTTTAGCCATTCGCTTCACTTCCTTTAGAAAATCAGGAGGAGGTGCCACATACCCACCCTCGCCTAATACGGGCTCCATGATGATGGCACAGGTGTCCTCTGCCGCTGTCTGCTGCTTGAACAGCAACTCCAAGCTTTCCAGACAGTATGAGGTCATGTCACTGTGACTGTGGGCAGGCACTTGGCGTTCGTACGGGAAAGGCGTCACAAACACCCCAGGGACAGTGGGCCCGAACCCGGCACTGTAGACAGTCTTGGAGGTGGTGAGCGCCATAGTGCCAAAGGTACGTCCGTGATAGCCTCCGTGTGAGACGATGACATTGTTCTTACGCGTCACACTGCGCGCTAGCTTTATCGCGGATTCAACTGATTCGGCACCGGAGTTCCAGAAGATGAACGAGTCCAAAGAAGGGTCTGGCATGACCTCCAGCAGGGGTGTAATTAGGTCGCCCATAATCTCGGATGAGAATATATTGACTTGACTGTGGATGATCTTTCCGGTCTGTTCCTGGGCAGCCTTGACCACCTTAGGGTGACAGTGACCTGCACCAGAGCAAAGGTAATAAACCGAGTATGTACAAACGTGCTCTGATACGACATGACATGATGAGGATATGGATCTTGAATGTAGTTAAAAGACTAGCATCAGTTGACTTTGGGATTAATTTCGTGATAGGCTATGTACCATTTATCAACCCACGTATAAGCACTGACAGAGACTAAGGCGGTAAACTGAATAATTATTGCCCAAAGAAAATCGCGCACACTCGGCACAGTATCTTCTATCAGTGCCATATCAGATTATAGTTGAATGTGAATCGTTTCAGAAAATTGAAAGAAAAATATGGTATTCTCTCACAATATGTTCAGCAAAATCGTGAAATCCTGGCTATCACATAGTAATATAGTTTCTTACAGCAGCGTATTTGATTATAAAAACGCACAAAGGGTAGGCCACTTTATTGCTTTTGCTTAAAGCACGTACGATCATACAAATAAAAGATGTGCCATATGAAATATAATGAAGTGAATAGATATAAGACGCCGCACGTCAAGAAAGATAGCATATATATATATATATATATATATATATATATATATATATATATATATATATATATATACACACTACACACACACACACTACTACTACTCTCTACACACACACACACACACATATATATATATATTATATATATATATATTCAAGTAACAAGTCAGACTTAAAATTAATTCTTCAATGCTGAGTCATGAAGTAATGCATACGCAAAGTCAACACCCGAACAGAATACAGGCCTGGGTTGCAGTGCAAAGCAGCACCAAAGGGATGTCAACTAGAACTGAAGCAGATTTCCGCAAAGGTCATGTAGCTATATGAACACACCTGTGTTGACCACCCCAATGCCCGAGGTGAAATCCAAGTACCTACGGCCATCCATAGTAGTTACGTGGGTGCCACTAGCGTGTGAGATAACCACATCCGAAAAGGGTGTGATAGCCTTGCCGACATGTGCTCGTGTGTACTTATACATATGCTTTTCCTGTTCAGGCGTAGATACACTATCTTTGGAAGTACTGTGTACAGAAGAATGATTTACATCTGGCACTGAGCTGTATAAAGCCCTCGCGGTGTAGCACGCCTCAACGGCACTGGAGCGGAACCCTCGAACGGACATTGTGGACAGCATCGTGAGTGAGGATACTAGAAAAGTGCGAGTAATATCTTTATATTAAGAAAGATTGTAAATCGCAGATATGAAAGCTGCATGAAGCTGCGTAGTGTATATATATCTATGTAATATCCGCAACTTGTTTGATCTTGTCACCTGTTAAAGTCACAAGTTTCTCGGCTGTTCGGCTTTTAGCCTTGAACTTCTATTTCGCAGAAGCATAATAGATACATGTACCGAATACTTCTCACTTCGGCTTCTGGAAGCTCTTCCGAAGATTGATAACGGTACTAATGTCTGATTCGTCCAAAAAGCTGTAGCTCATTGCTGCTCTTCCCAACAGCATCGCAGAATTATACTAGCTTTTTTTAGCTAAAATCTTTTCTACAGAAAAAAATACCTGTACCCACCAGAACAATCTATCAGAATGCATTCCTAAAAAAGAATTAATATATATATTTAGTAAACACACAAGACAGTCAGTCACAAGCAGATGTGACCATACATATTTGAAAAATAAATATGCGTATTGATATAACTTTGAATCGTACGCAATATCTCGAACGATGGGTCACAGCAAAAAACCAGTGACGCTATTCGTGTCGTTACGCAGTCGCACAAAGAAACACAATCACATACGATACACAACAACGAACAAATATGTTTCTAGGCTCAAGGTGGAGTTATTGGGAGTCTTCCAGGAGAAGAGTGTGGTTGGAGATGGCGAGGCCGATTTTTGTCTACAGATGACATGCCCAAAGTACTCTGTGCAATACGATCTTGAAAACTACGAGGTAAAGATCGCAACGAAATCGAAAGCAAAATAATTTTTTTATGTTTAGTGACACACCTATGACACATTGTTTACATATACATTGTTTACATATACATTGT